AGTTTCCAAGGATTCATCTGAAGTATATGTGGACACCAGAGAGGTATTGACATCAAAATCAGTGCTAGAGGCTGGTGCTTCGCTCTCTAGAATCTCTCTCTTTCTCTCTCCATCCATCCATCTTTTGGGAGTGCCTACAAAGCCCCTATTTTCAAATTGTGAAAGCAGTTGCATCTTGTTTTAGAAGTAGGTGTCTGCTTTGGAAGCTGCTCTTTCTTATCTCTGATTTAAAAACAGCTGCTTTGCAGGCGTCCCACATATTCTGAGGCAGCTCTTTTGAAGGGCTTTTACAGCTTATCTATTTATCTGCCTGTCTATATCAACTCTATCATCCATCCATCCATCCATCCATCCATCCATCCATCCAATCCATCATCTCTATCATCTATCATCTGTCATCATCTACCTATATCATCTATATCTATCACCTATCTCTCATCTATCTATCTTTCATCCATCCATCCACTTTCCTATCTAGTCAGCCAGCCATTCAGCAGCATCTACAGGGCCCTGCTGCTTTTGTCATTGTGATGCACTGCCTTCATCAGTCTGTTCTTCTTGTCCCTCTTACAGATGTTGCTCTATCTCTCTATCTTGCTATCTTGCTCTCTCGCTCTCTCTCTAATCTCTCTCTATTATTCTATCTATCTATCTATCTATCTATCTATCTATCTATCTATCTATCTATCTATCTATCTATCTATCTACCAACCAACCAACCTAGGGCAAGGAACCTAGTGGGTGCCATGAAAAGTGTGCATGGGCATCTAGGTGGCATGGGCAATACAGTGCCTGTCCCTGCCTTGGGATAAAAACAAAAGAATTCACATCTCCTCTTATGGAGCAGACTAGGACTCTGAGATTGTGTCCTCTTCCTCAGCTGAACAGGTTAGGAAGCTAAATCTACTTCAGAATCCTGACTGGCCTACACATGTCTATGAAGGACATGGACATTATGACACATGCAATGCAATGTTGTCTTCAGTTGAAGGCATCCAACCCAAGGGACTTTCTTTTGCTTTTAGGGTTGCCAGCTTGCCATGAAGAGAAAGCTGATCTTCTTGCCAAAAAGATACCTCCAAGTTAAGTTTGGCCTTTGCCAGAATCCCACGACTAGAAGCTGCCTGTTTATTTTCTAAAATTCAGCCTTCATTTCAAAATGATGGCCGCCTATCCTAGCAGAGTATGTGACAGATTGACAGGCCGATTTTGGTTCTGAAGTAGGGTATGATGAATTGAAGTGTTGAGGACAACTATACCCAATCTGGCAATTTCCACATCTGCTGAGGCTACATCTTGTTGAGTTTCCAGCAAACTCTCTATAGAGCTTTGAACATGCCGGCAGAGAATTCAGAGGCTGACAGTCTTATCCAGGGGTGTCCTCAGAGATAAGGACAAAAAAGTCAAGATGGCAATCACAACCATGCAATTGGAGCCCTGACTTTTTTTAATGTGACACACATAAAATGACCCATCTCTGTGGACACTCCTGGTCCTATCATGCTTGGAAAGGGCCAATCTGGGAATGGCTCTTTAAAAGTTCAGGAGTTAATCGCTTTGATGTCTTGGTTATTCCTTTTTGAACCTTGTTCTTTCTTCCTTTCTTTTTTCAAAAAAAAAATGTGGTTATGGATTGCCTCTAAATTAATAATTAAAAACTATTGCCCATCTCAACCCATTAATGCAGCCACCCCATTAAAGTAAGTTCAGTCAATTAATTTTGTGAGCTTGTCAGCAGATTAATTATGTGATTACATCTTCATAAATATGAGCAGAAATTAACTGTTCTGAAGTGGGGAAAAACAGACTTTGGTTTCAAATAATACGTGCATCGCTGCCTTAGGAAAAGCACCTTCTTCCATGTGAGAACAAGGAAAATGTTTAAAAGTGCTTTTTATTTTTAAAGATGTCTGTTGCCCAGTGAGGTGGAAAACATTTCTTGATATTTTGCTTTGGCCCTCCAAAGGTTTTAAACCAAGGGATCAAATCAATGAATTAATTGTACCACATTTTGCCAGATCTTTGTCCTCAGAAGCAAGGTGGCAATCACAGATTTATCTTCCTGATGGCCACCGCTCTCTTTCTTTGCTCCCTCTGGCAACCATTTTCCTCCCCCCACAGCAGTCTCTCTGGGGAGGGTCCATCCCATTGGCCCAATATTTGGACTACTTGCTTGTCAAGACGGGGCCAAGGGGCATATGTCTCAGGTGCTGTAGATGGCCCACCCCGAGCTCAAAGCAGAAGGTTGGCAAGTCTAGGGAACAGATGTTCTTGTGACCCAGGGAGCCCTGATGGCCTTGCCTCCCACCCCTCCTTCCCAGGTGTGGTTCCAGAACCGGCGCACCAAATGGAGGAAGAAGAGTGCTCTGGAGCCTTCCTCCTCTTCCCCACGGGCAGGAGCTGGACCAGGAGAACGTGCCATCTCTGACGAGGATGATGAGTACAACAAGCCCTTGGACCCAGACTCCGATGACGAGAAGATCCGTCTCCTGCTGCGCAAACATCGGGCCACCTTCTCTGTCCTCGGTCTAGGCTCCCACAGTGGCTGAGGGCCAGTGGGTTGGCTGGTGCCTGCAGCTTCCAGGGGCAGAGGCCGGATTCAGCAGGATGGACTTGGGGGTGTCGATGGTGGGGGGGGAGGCCTTTCCCCAAGAGGAGGAGGGTGTGGAGGTTTCAACTTGACTTAGTGCAGATGGGGAACTGCTACGGCTGCACGCAAGCCTGGGGCGGGAGGCCAAGGGAGGAGGCTGACTCGTATCCAGCTTGCCCCTTGGACCCAAGGCTTGCCTGCAGCCTTGTTGGAAAAGAGGTGGGCTTTCATCAGTCACTGTATTTTTAATCACAATACCAAGAGGCAAAACTTTTCAAACCATCTGCAAAATGGCCCCAAGGATCGCTAGAGTAGCATGTTGGGGATGTTACAGGCATCGGCCAGTAGGTCCTTTCAGAGCGTCTTCTCCCTGGTTTAAAATGAGCAATGTTGGAAATCTGGCAGGGAATTGGGGTTTTTTTTTGCGGGGGGGTAGACATAGTTGGAAACCAAAAGGGGGGCTTCCTGCAGAGTTCCTTTTTTCATCCACATACTTTTACAAGAGAGTCTAGATCAGTGTCTCTCAACTTTGGCAACTTTAAGAGGTGTGGACTTCAACTGCCAGAAT